TTTGGGTTTTTTTAAGATTTTATTTATTTGAGAGAGAGAGAGTGAGAGAGTGAGAGGGAGAGAGCCCAAGAGGGGGGAGGGTCAGAGGGAGAAGCAGGCTCCCCGCCGAGCAGGGAGCCCGACGCGGGACTCGATCCCGGGACTCCAGGATCATGACCTGAGCCGAAGGCAGTCGCTTAACCAACTGAGCCACCCAGGCGCCCTAATGCAAGCATATTGTTAAAATGAAATTGGTCTTTCAGACACACCTGTGTTCTTACTTCATTGCTTTTGCAAAGATGAGAAGGGATAATGTTTCTTCTGTTTCTTCTCCTTTTTAATTAAGTAGGCTCCATGGCTGGCGTGGAGCCCAGTGGCCGGCTTGAACTCATGACCTTGAGATCAAGACCGGGGCTGAGATCAAGATTCAGACACTCAACAAACAGAGCCACCCAGGCGCCCCTCTTATTGAGTGTAAGAAGCAAGTCAGTCCCATTACCCATTCCTACAGTAGCTTTGCTGGCTAACTCCCCCAGGAGAGACAACTACCTCACCAAAAGAGAGGTGCATTTTTTTCTTGATTATGTAAGACAATTCTAGGGGCGCCTGGGTGGCTCAGTCAGTTAAGCGTCTGCCTTCGGCTCGTGTCATGATCCCAGGGTCCTAGGAATGGGTCCCGACTTGGGCTCCTTGCTTAGCAGGGAGCCTGCTTCTCCCTGTACCTGCCACTTGCCCTGCTTGTGTTCTCTCTTTCTCTGTCAAGTAAGTAAATAAAATCTGGGAAGGAAGGAGAGGAGGGAGGGAAGGAAGGGAGGAAGGAAGACAATTCTACCCTGAGTGCTAACCTGATTCTTTTGAAGATTTTTTTTTTGGAGCAGGGGAGGGGCAGAGAGAGAGGGAGAGAGAGTCTTAAGCAGACTCCACACTGAGACGGGCCCGACATGGGGCTTGATCTCATGAACCTGAGATCACCACCTGAGTCGAAACCAAGAGTCAGACACTCAACCGAACTGTGCCACCAAGGGGCCCCGTTTTAATTATTTTTTTTAAGTCAATGAATAAAGTAGAATAACACTTGAAAATTTGGCTGATAATATTCCAATGGGCATTTTGTTTTTTGGACAGATGTTTAGACCCAGCATATAAAATCTGCTAAATGATGGTGACTTGCTATTCCTCCAAAAATGATCTGTTGAAGAAGGCACTTTCCACTCAGTCCTGGTACAGATGTCAAATTAATGCACAAGATCTTACAGAGAACATCTTTATTTTAGCCTGTTCTTTAAAAAACAAAAACAAAAAAAGCCTCTGATTTTCTCAGTGTTTATAAACACCCACAAAACTTATCTTTTATAAAACACTGACACGGAAGAACACTCAAATATCCTGCTCTTGCTCTAAGATCACCTTAAAATCAGTCAACAACCAAGTACTGTGAGATAATGAAGAAATACCAACTACAGTCCCTTGTGTTCTAGGAGTTTATCATCTAGGAGAGAAGTGGGATCCAGGTTCTGTGATCCAGTGCTATCAGATGTTCCCTGAGGGGAAAAAAAAAAAGTCCCATGAATAAAAAAGTTCAGGAAACATTTAAAAAAAAAAAGATCTTAGACCAAAGTGTAAAAGCTAACACCATAAAGCTTTTAGTGGAAAACATAAGAGATCTTTAGAACTCATGGCATGGCTTTCTTGAGTTATAGGAAGCAATAACTAAGAGAAAACATTATAAATTATACTATATCAAAATTACAAGCTTCTGCTCATCAGAAGATATCAAGGAAATGGATAGGCAAACCACAAATTGGGGGAAATATGTGTAATACATATGTCTGACAATGGGCTAGTATCAACAATAAAAAGACAATACACCCATACAATGGAATATTATTCAGCAACGAAAAGAAATGGGCTATCGAACCACAAAAAAGATGGAGGAAACCGACGTTCACATCGCTGAGTGAAAGAGGCCCATATGTGAAGGCTACATACTATACAATTTCAATCATATGACATTCTGGAAAAGGTAAAACTATGGAGACGGTAGAAATATCAGTGGCTGCCAGGGGTCAGAAGCAAAGAGCAGGTGGAGCACAGAGGATTCTGAGACAGTGAAACTTCTGTAGAATATTATAAGAGTGGGCACAGGTCATCACACTTTTGTCAAAACCCACCAAATACACTGCACAAAGAACCCTAACATAAGCTAGGACTTTAGTTAATATGTCCACACTGGCTTATCAACTGTCACAAATGTGCCCCACTAATGCAAGATAATACTAAGGGTAAGAGAGAGAAGAAATTACTCTTTCACTCAATTTTTCTGTAAACCTAAAACTCAAAAAAAGAAAATCTGTTAAAAACGTATTTTTTAAGCAATACAAAAAGACAAATTTTTTTAATAGGCAAAAAAATTTGTCCAGATACTTTACAAAGGAAATACATATAAAGCTGGTAGAAAGGTGCTTAATGTCATTAGTCTTCAGGGAAATGCACATGGAAACTATGAGATACCATTACTCACCCACCAGAATGGCTAGAGACTGACAACAGCGTAGATTGGTGAGGATGTGAGTAACTGGAACTCTATAAACATTTTCGGTTGTTGTACAGAATGGGTACAATCACTTTGGGAAAAGGTCCAGCAGTTTTTTTAAATAAAACTAAATGTGTATTATACCTACCTTATCTGTCACACAATTTCACTCCTGGGTATTTACCTGAGAGAAAATGATAAATCCACAAAAAGAGCTGCACATGAATGGTAATGGCAGTTTTATTCCCGATAGCCCAAAATGGAAACGGCCTAAGTGCCTAGCAACAGAATGGACAGATGTTGCCGTACGAGGGAGTGCTACCCAGCAATAAAAGGAACAAATCACTAATAAACACAACATTGGGTTGATCTCAAAAATATGCTGAGTTTCTAGAAGCCTGGCACAGAAGAGTAAAAACTGTATGACACCATTTATATGAAATTCTAGAAAAGGGAAAACAAATCCAATGTGAAAAAAAAACAAAATCAAATCACTGGTTTTCCCTAGGGGGTGGAGGCGGAGATTGACCAGGAAGGGAACATAGGGAACTTTCTGGGTTTGACAGTAATGTTCTATCTCTCTTTTTCTTTTTTCTTTTTTAAAGGATTTTATTTATTTATTTGAGGAGAGAGAATGAGAGAGAGAGCACATGAGAGGGGGGAGGGTTAGAGGGAGAAGCAGACTCCCTGCTGAGCAGGGAGCCCAATGCGGGACTCGATCCAGGGACTCCAGGATCATGACCTGAGCCGAAGGCAGTCGCCTAACCAACTGAGCCACCCAGGCACCCTTATCTCTCTTTTTCTTTTTAAAAAGATTTTATTTGAGAGAGACAGAGTGAGCCAGAGGGAGAACACAAGTGGAGGGGAGGGGCAGAGGGAGAAGCAGACTCCCCACTAAGCAGGGAGCCCGATGCGGGGCTCGATCCCAGGACCCTGGGATCATGACCTGAGCCGAAGGCAGTTGCTTAACCGACTGAGCCATCCAGGCACCCCAGTAATGTTCTGTATCTTGATAGGGGATAGGATTACACAGGTAGATGCATTTGTCAAAACTCAAAAGAATACATTCTTAAGATTTGTGCACTTCAGGGTATAAATATTTAAATTTTATATGAAACACATAGAAACTAATATTGACCTCCAGTTAATAATTTATGTGCTTATGTATTTGGAAGGAAGTATACTAATGTCACTAATGTACAGTAAATTGTTGCTAGGTATATGGGTTTATACTATAAATAATATACTTAATTTTCTGTGATAAAATATTGGAACCAATTGTTTAAATAAACAGAATCTAAATAGTTTCTAAGCCCTAACATGACAACCCTGCAATATGACCAGGATTTGTTCGTTCACAAATACGAAGACAAATCGAGAAAGATAAAACCATTTGCTGAATTAAAACAAGTCAAGAGTTTACTAACTGGAATTGAAATAAAAACTTGAAAAATAAACCCAACAAACCAAAACAAATCAAGAAACGGGAAATTTAATAACAAACCAGACCTGGCCCTATGGTCAGGCTTCCCACTCTATCGATGATGTCTTCTGGGATCCACTCTGTGTCTTTAATTCTCCTTGGCATGCACTCATCTTCCTTTGTCAATGAAGATTTAAAAAATAAAAATAAGACTTCTCAGCCAGTGTGTGCCAGGCTTCTTTAACTCTCTGATAATACCACATCAACTCTATTCCAAAAGCACTACAGTCCTGGTTACCATTCAGCTTGTTGCCCGCTAGGATTCCCATGTGACCCTCTTTGAATATTTTGTCGTCTTTTGTTCATCAGAAAACCATTCCGCACTGACTCTGCCCTGCTCTCAAGCGGCTTAGCATGCACGGGGCCGCTGGGCTGGGTGAGCTGCTGGAACAGGAGACAGGCCGGCGGCAGGCAGTGGCTTCTGGCCAGGGAAGGCTTCCTGCAGCCAATGCGTCCAGAGCCTCCCACAAGGAGCTGGCGCTAAGACACGTGGAGTGCAGGAAGAGTTGCTGAGAAATTCTCCGTACCTCACCCCAGTCAGCGTTCATTTCTACTGGGGGCCAAACGGCAGACGCCTCGCACTGGTTATGGTAACTTCCACCTCTCTCTGAGATCTAAACACACTAGTTCCCCAGCACCACGCCACACACACATTTTTAAAATTACCATGAAACAAGGAAGGAGGGAGGATGTGGCACATGCCATCCTACATCCCACTCACATCAGGTAAAGGACACCTAATTTCCTGTGTCATCAAACGACTGATCCCACAAACGGGCCCAGGCAAGGCTGCCCATGTCCGTGCATGTTTACAGACAGCATCATGCGGGTTCAAGCACACAGGCTGGTCCAAGACCGAATCACACAGCCCAAAACCTTTATGGGGGGGGGGGGCGCGGGCAGCTGGCTCCCCGCAACCTGGCAGGCCCCTTCTCTCGGGTCACTCTTCTGTCCCTGCAGAGGAAAATCACAAAGGACCTCCACACTGCTTGAGTTAAAGTCTCCATTTATTTTTATTTTTATTTTTATTTTTTTTACAAAAATCCAACATAAGACTATTGTGCTCATGACTGGAAAAGGGGGGTGGGGTGGATGGACATGGCATGGACATCAAAGAGCTTCCCCCTGCAAAACAGCATCATTTCAAACCGGGAGCTGCCTGCGCACACGCACAGGCCGCGGCTGAGGGGCTCCCACCCGCCCAGCCAGGGTCCCGCCGACCGCGCCCAGGCCTGGGCTCGAGGAGCAGCAGCGCGCACGGCGCGGAAAACCACCGTCAGCAGCGCAGACGCTCAGACGGCCCCAGGAGCACCTTGGGGACACTCTCCCGTAGGGGAGTGCCCCTCGGGGTGGAGAGCAAACTGGCTAGCTCGGGACGAGGACATCCTGGGCCCAGGCGGCAAGGGGTGACCTGTGGACGGCCGGGGAAACCATGTGAGCCCGCAGAGCCGTTCGCGTGTTCCAGAGGAGTCCCAGTCACGTGGTGTACAGGACGTCCGTTTCCCAGCGGGACAGATGGGCATCAAGGGCATTCGAAGCGTGTGCTGGGCCTCCCCGCGGCCACCTCGCAGAAAACAGCAGTCACTCTCCAGGAGCGCCTAACCGAGCAACGTAAAAGGTCTGACTGCCCGGCCTCTTGCTCCTGAGCCGCGTCCCTTAGGCACATGGCCAGTGTCCAGCAGAGCCTGCTGCTTGGAGTCCCTCAGGTTAGTGTCCTGTTAGGTCCAAATAGCGCTCGCCTCGTTTGCGGCTCTGACACCATAACCCTCCCTGCAGTAGACGTTCATGTCATCCAGAATCTCAGAACACTCGGCTCCTCCTGGATCTCCCAACAGCATTCGGGGACCCCCCAGCCTGGCTCCACGACAGGGGCTCCTAACACAGACTGCGCTTTTCTCACCGGGTCCCACTGAAAGCCAGTTTATGAGTTCCTTACATTAAAATAAACAAGATAAAAATAGCAGCCACATATATAGCTCAAAACACCACACTCTTTGGCTCCCCGGAGGGAAGAAGGCTACCACTAAAAAGAATAGTTCGGAGTCAAGGAAAGGGTAGTTAGAAAGTTAGGGTACAGGGAGTCTGGACCCCTTTGCTGGGCTGCTGAGAAGCAGAACCGGATTTCCTGGGTAGCTGCCTCTGTAGGAGAGCGACAAGAAAATGCCAGTGGGAACCTCTAGCGGCCACAAGCCCTGGGAGCTGCCCTGGTCTTGTCTGCCAATAAGGAGAGGTCCTTTAGGTCCAGCTAGCCCTCTACCCGGGTGGGGTCTACAGGTTCTGTCACCTGGCTTCAAAATGCTACTTGCAGAGACCCACTGAGACAGGTCAGAGAATGTGCCCCCAAGAAAGAGCAGCACAGGATGTCAAGGTCTGGGGAAGACGGAACTGGCTTAAGGCATGTACATGACCAGGACAGACCTGAGCTTTTGTCCAGCTGTGGGAAACCACCTGTATTCAACTTCACTGCAAGAAAGTGGGGTCCAGGAAAATGGTAGAAGTCATGGGTTAAATCCCTGCCAGATGCCACCGACACCCTCTCCGGTTCTCCTACTGCCACCCACACAAAAAAAAAAAAAAAAAAAAAACAAAACTAGCTTATTTCCGTTTCAACCAGGGAATAGAAATGTAAACCCAGAGTGGAAAGTGGTAACATGGGTATGAATGCCTGTGAAATCTCAGGCAGGAATGGAGCCTATCTTCTTAGCATTCTGGCACATACCAAATCTCAAGGGGTCCTGGGACAACCTGGCATAAGGGATCTAAAAACTACAGGTAACACAGGGCATAGGTCCAGACAAAGGTGGAGGGAAGGTGAATTTCACCAAGGTATTTATCCCAAGGCAGGCGCCTTGCTGTAAGACTTCCCGGCCAGCCGGGTGGGGGTCCACAAAGGATGCTCGCTCGTTCTACGCCAGAGAGAGTAGGCCAACCTGCAGACCACTTCAGATCACAGCTGGAGGTGCGGCCTGCCAGCTCTCTGTTCTCTTACACGGGAGAACTTCCAGGAAAGCCTGAAGCCAAAGCACAACGTGTGTTTCAAAAGGAGGGCCGAACAAAAAGAGCCAGCTGGGAGCGCTGTCTTCAGGTCTCACTCCTTCCTCATTCTTCTCTTTCAAACGGGAGAGAATGGGTGTGCAAGGACCAGTTCTGGGACAGCTCAACCTAGCGATGAATCCTCAAAAACACTCAATCCAGCACAGGGAAGCCCCGCTGTTCCCAAAGGTGCAGGTCCTCCCCACGGACTCAAGTGACAGGAGGTCGCAAGCTCCAGATCACCTGTTGGCAACAGATGGAGGAAGGAACAAACCAAGAGGGCTTATCTCGTCCAGGGCCCCCTAGGAGGGCCAAGCCTGCCCTTTGTTTCTGCACGCAGATGCCCTGGGGAATACAGAGATGATCTTTAAGGATGAGCCAGATACCATAAGGCCAGGCTCCATCTCCACCAACGTACAGAACATCAGGAAACTCAGTGGGTCCCTCACTTTGTGAAACAGGCAGAAATCTCAAATTGCCCCCCAAATCTATCTCTCCCTCTCTATATATGTATATGTATATGTATGTGAGAATGTGTGTGTGCATATATATATACATATATATACGCACATATATATAAATAAGCCTCGAATGGCAAATCTGAAACTTTCTCCTTTTAAATAATAATAATAGTTGTTACTGAATTTAAAAACCACAAACCAGCTGTCCTGGGCTTATGAACTGCGTGAGTGACTCCCCGGAGTCCCCAAGATCCTCAGTGTAAGCTATCAGTCAGTGCCCTGTGTAGGGAACCCCTGCGTCCTCCGACCAGGGTTCCGGGCCCAGTGTGGCCGACTTTAAGGGAAAGAAGGCTATTTCCTTCCCACTCTTCCCGCCACCTCTCCCAGCAGGGGTTTGGGCCACCCGCCCAGCGGGTGGCCCTGAGGCCCTTCAACGTCGAGGAACCTTAGGAACCATCTCCCCCACTCTGCTCATCCTCTCCCCAAAACTTGCAATGCCCCTAGATGAACTTGAAGCACTTGGTCTTGTCGTGGGGCAGGCGGGTCTTGAAGAGCACAGAGTCCACCCTGAATTGAGTGTACAGTAGGGGCATATAGCCGTACACCTTGACAAAAAAGTTGATACATTTGTGCCGCTCATGAAAGTGGGAATCATCGTGTGACAGGGCCTGAGGGCATCCTGGGCAGCGGAAGGTCCACCGAGAGGTCACCTGGGAACAGGGAAGAAAGAGCACAGTGAGAACCGCAGGGACCGGGACAGACAGAAATCCTGCCGCCTAACCAATCCGCCGCGTCCATTTTGCCAGGGAAGGCACTGACCGCAGGTGGCCACGTTCACCCCCGGGGGAGTCAGGAGCCAGAGCCTTGGCTCCCTTCCTGCCACATACGTAGCTGTATCGTTGGAAAGGGTGCTCTTTCCAAATGACCTAAACGGTAGATATCAAAAAGCCTGAAAAGGTTTAGCATTACTTGCCTCAGTAACTCAACCGCTAGCATTTATCTGGGTCGCACAGCAAGATGTAGGTCTAAAGGTGTTCATTTCATCAATGTTTTTAGTAGCAAAATACTGGAAAAGTACCCATCAAAAGGGGACCAGTTAAATAATTATGAAATACTACACATCCACTAGAAAAGATATTTAGGAAAATTATATCTGAAGACATGGCAAAGTGGTTATATTATAGTAGTAGTAGTACTAGCAGTTATGATGCTGATGAAATTTCAAGCAATTAGAAGAGTATAAAGAATAATACCACAGCTTCACTATCAGCAATGTGGCAGACCAAATAACATAAAAACTCCCTTAGCAGAGAATACCTGAAAATGCAGGATGAACTGTATAAACTAACTCTTTAGAGAGAGTAATGAAAGAAAACTTGTAATGAAAGAAAGGAAATGAAATGTAAAGAAAGAAATTAAACCCTCAAAGGCCAAAATAATGAAAAAGCCTGAATCCAATGAGAGAGATAGGAGCTTTGGTTTTTAACAGGCTGGGGAGGCAAGAGCCACAAAACTTTATTGGAGATTTTTTAAAACACCAGGACCCGGTGGAAGGCTGCACAGGTTGGAGGCAGCTCCACAGAAAGCTGTCTTCTTCCCATCTTAGCTCTAAGTGGAAGAAGAAACATCACCTGTAAGAACGTATAACCACACACTGGCCCTCACCCACCTGACGCTAGGGTTTGTTACCTGTGTGTCCTGAAAAGATGCTAATTTAGTTTAAACAGGTCTCAAGTAGGTACTGACCCAGGGTACGTGGAAGAAGCAAATCCAAATTCTCTCAGGTATAAATTCAGGCCTCCTAGAAATTCTATAGGTAAAACCCCAAAGAATATGACTTCACAATCAAAAGTCACAAAAAAAGGGAATGAGCCACATGCGGGAGAATCTGCAGAAACAACAGAATCAGACCCCAAAATCGCAGGATTCTCAGTTGGTAACTAGAACAGTACGTGTATATGTGCCCTGAAATTTTGAAAGACTACCTGTATGATTCCATTTAGATAAAGTTCAAAATGAGGCAAAACTGATCCTGCAAGAGAAAAAAGACCTTGACTCGCTGTCATTCCGCCAGCCGAGCTCTCCTGCCTGCAGGAGCCCAGCATCCTCCTGGCCCTGCCCTCCCTCCAGTGGCCACGGTGCGGGGGAATGACTCAAGAACACGGGAAGACGCTCAACCTCCGTAATAACCAGGCAAACGTAAATGAAAACAGTGGGATACAGTTTATACCCATCAGATAGGCAAAAATGGAAGTGTGGCAGTACCAAAATGTTAGGATGTGGAGAAACTGCAACTATTATACAGTGCTGGTGAGTATATACACTGGTGCATCTATTTTGAAGAAAGTTTGGTATTATCAAGTATAAATGAAAGAACATATACCCCATGACCTCACGTGAGAGGAATGGATGGGGGGAGGGTGATATAAGATATCTACTCTATTTATAATGTTTTATTTTTTTTCTTTTTAATTTTTTTTTAAGGAGGCTCCACACCCAGCATGGAGCCCAACGCGGGGCTTGAACTCATGACCCTGAGATCAAGACCTGAGCTGAGATCAAGAGTCGGACACTTAACCAACTGAGCCACCCAGGTGTCCCAAGTTTATTTTAAAAAAAGAAGAAACGTGTATAATCTGACATAGGGCAAAATGTTAATATTCAGCAAAACTGTTGGGTATGTATATTTGTTATAGTCTTCCTTTTTTTAAAAACATTTCATTCATACGTTGTAAATCAGTAGTAATCAAGTGTTTCAAATATATATATAAATACTTCCTATATGTATAGACATATAGAATCCTGAATAAATATATACCTGTCTTTGAACACGCATGTAAAAATAAGTCTATCGTTTTCAGTACCCATAATCCCATAATCCCATCGTGCATCTTCCCTCCAGAGAAATTGCTATCCTGAATTTTGTTTTCAAACTTCCCTTCCCCTCCCCCCTTTAAAAAAGTGGTTTTACCATATGTGCATTTATCGCTAAATGACTGCCATGTTTTAGACTTTAGGTAAATGAAATCAAGCCATAAGCATCCCTCTGCAGTTAGCTTTTTAAAAAAGTGTATGTGAGCTTAGTCAGTGTTGATGCTTGCAGCTACAGTTCCTTAATTTTCACTGCCCCAAAGTCTTAAAAATGCCCTCCTCCACACTTTTCCAAAGTTTTAGGTTTTGCCCTTTTGTATTTAAATCATTAATCATTTTGGACATGATTCTGTGTATGGTGTAAGACAGGAACCCAATTTCATTTTTTCCCCATAACTAGTTTGCATTACCCGCTCAGTTCATCCAGACCTGAGTGATCTGCAGTGCTGGTTCTGTAATGTAGATACACTCTTAGATCGATCGATCTCTCTGCTCTTTTTCTCATTTGGAAATTCTTTATTCTGGGTATCAATTCTTGGTCATTTATAGGCATTGTAAACATCCCAGTGTGTGGCTTGTTTTTTCGTATATTGAATTTTGTTGAACAAAGTTTTTTATTTTAGTGTATTCAAACCAGTCTTTTCCTCTATATTTTGCACTTTTTATTTCTTAAAATTCCTTACTTTCTTTTCCATACAGATGACCAATTACACCAGCGCTCGTCTGTAAACACCATATGCCGAGTTTCCATATATGCACGGGGCTGTGTCTAACCCCCACTTTGTGCCCCTGGTCTGTCATGCCTGTGCCGATCCCGCAGTCTGAGCTCTGCACTTCCCACCACGTCGTCATCTGTGACTTGGCTACTCTGGTCCTTTGCCTTTCCATACGAATTGGGGAAGTCTGTCACGTTCCACACCAAAGCAAATGAAACCAAATAAGACATCCTAATAGGCTTTTGATTGGCATTACGTTGAAATTTTGGATTCGAGAACTGCTATACTGACAATACAGGGTCCTCATCCATGAACGTGGACCTGGTCTCTATCCCCATTTGTTTGGTGGATCATCTCCCCTTAGATTGACTTGAATGAGAATCTTCTAAAGTTTCACCATTAAGTATAATATTTGCTATAATGTTCGTGTTTTAAATAAAGTCTAGAAATTTCTCTCATTCTCTTTTTCAAAACTGCCTGTCCCTTACCCTCTCCGTTCCTCCCTCTTGGTTCCCTGTTGGCCCTTCTCCTTCTATCCTCTGTGCCTCTTAACCTCTTTCTTATTTTCTCTCTCTGCACATCCCTGAAATTCTTTCTCGGAAACCTTTTTATCTCCCAGCTGATTAACTTTCTCTTCAGCTGAGTCTGGTCTTTCTATCCCATTCACAGAGATTTTCGTTTTAGTAATTCTAATCTTCATTTCCTTAGTTCTAGTTAGGTTTTTCAAATCCACTTGTTCTTTTTTTCCCCCAGTGATTTGTTGCTTTTTATGTGTTCAATTCCTTAGTCTTTATTTCTAGTCATTTAAAACCTACTTATTCCATAGTCTAGCCACAGGTCTGATTATTTGGAATTCTTGGAGAGCTAGCCTTACTTCTGTCCTATCTGTTAGCTCTTGCTCAGGGCCGCCTGTCCCCTCTCGTGACTGCTACTTTCAGACTTCAAGCTCATCTTCCATGAGGCTCTACCTGTGGGTGTCCTATGTGGCTTGAGGTGAGGAATGTCTCTTGACAGCAGTTTTTGGTCTTTTTCTGTCAAACAGCCAAAGGGTATCAATGGCTAGGTCTAGTTTTCATATAGCACAAGTCTCCAAACCCATGAAAGCCCAGACTGCTTAAAATTCTCAATCTATAGTTTTCCCCCTCTACCCTCCAAAATACAGGTTAAAATAAACAAGTTGCCTGCCATCTGCCTGGGACAACAGGTGGATCTCAGTTCCAATTCTCTGCCCAAAGGTTCTTCACCCTTTTCTCACATGAGTGATAAAACACAAGCCTCGAGAAGATAAATTAACAGCATCCCACCCAAGGAGCCCCAGCGACACATTACATGTTTGCCACTCTGATTTTTAGTTCCCCCTTCCTTTCTGGCAATTATCTTACTTTATTACTTATTAAATAAGCCCAACTAAACTTTGAAAAAAAGTTTGTTATGTGAACACTAAAAACATGGTATTTTAGGTTACCTAGTCCACAATATTGCCAGAACCAGAAAATTTACTGTTAACTTTAAAAGCAGACTACAAAAAAAGTACATATTTAAAAAAAATAAAGATAAAAAGCTACCACCACAGACAGGGGACCACAGAACCAAAAGAAATATGCCAAAAGGCCTGAGTAATTTTTTTTCAGATTTTATTTATTAGAGAGAGTGAGAGGAAGAGCGCACAAGCAGGGAGAGGGGCAGAGGGAGAGGCAGAAGCAGACTCCCCGCAGAGCAGGGAGGCCGATGCTGGGCTCCATCCCAGGACCCTGGGCTCATGACCTGAGCTGAAGGCAGATGTTTAACTAAGCCACTCAAGTGCCCCTATGCCTCAGTAACTTTTCTTTCTGAATACATCTATCTTTTCCCAAATAATTTAAAAGTTATTATTACTATCATAAACTGAGGAAAAAATTAAGATTCAATGGCCCATCCCATAATTTTTAGCTAAAGAGTAAACATCACAAATATAGCCAGTAACAACCATCAGAACCCGGGTCTCCAGAGTTGAAACAGAGGAGAGCACTGGTCAGTGCCCCAGGGGCAGCTCACCACACAGCCACAAGTCTGAGGGAGTCAGGACTTCCGCAGTAGCGGTCTCTGTAAAGGGACCCACCAGGCTCCCTACTTCTCCCTCTCACTCCCACCAGACTCCCCACTTCCCCAGTTCTCACAGGACTCCTGTGGTTTATAGGGAGCAGTGAGTTACCACTCTTCCCACCATCCTCCCTTGTCAAGAATCTGTCAAGAGAAGAGTATTCTCAAACAGCATCTATGTATGGTATTCTCCTTGGTCCTCCCTATACCTAACAATCTTCCTCCTCATCCCAGATGCCAGCATCCAACCACAGGGGAAAAGCCCCTTACCCTGCAAATGATTTCACTTGACACAAAAAGATATTTTATGCTGTTTTCACTGAAGCAGTGGTTTCTAATCATGTGTCCCATCAGTAAAAAAAAATTTTGACACTGCAACTCCAGTGTATTTATAAAGTACATTTGTATATATTTTTGTATATATACTTATGTATTATAGAAAACTGTATTACATAATAAAACATACAAAGAAAGGAATTAAGAAAGATGAAGCAACAGCTAAACTATAAAAAGAAGTTTAAACATTTACTTAACCAATACCATGGATTATATTTTATGTGGAAATGTTCCAGGTAATTCAGGAAGTATTAGTGTCATGCACAGCAATAGTAAGGAAAATCCTTTAATAGATGTTGAGAACCTCCTTTACCAGAGAATTAAGATGTGTACTTATGCTGCCTCCCTCCACTTCCTTATCACCTAAGCCATCCATCTTCTAAATGCTTATTGAGTTTTGAAATCCTTTATTCTCAGTGAAGTTTGTTTACATTCTACCTTTCTCCTTCTTAAAAGATAACATTATTCAAACCAATAATATGAAATTAACTCCCTGTTCTCTATTTACTCAATACTGTGAAGCTATTAACATTTTTGAAAGAACACTGCTAATCACATAGAACAGTCATACCTTCTAAATCATAACAAGGGAGAGAATATAGTTTGATAGTGCAAATTTGAAGTAGTTAAAGCAAAAAACAGAATGACTATTTTAGAACATAAAATAGTATAAATACCTGATAAAATTAGGTAAATTAAAATATTTAGCTCAAACTGGTTCTATAGTACATAACTAGATTCAGAATTTGAAGACATTCTTAATTTGTTGTTTTGTTTTGTTTTGTTTAATGTAGGCTCCACACCCAGCATGGAGTCCAGCGCAGGGCTTGAACTCATGACCCTGAGATCAAGACCTGAGCTGAGATCAAGAGTTGGATGCTTAACCGACAGAGCCACCCCAGGCGCCCCTATTGAATCTTTTGATTTTAAAAAGTCATCCTGGGGTACCTGGGTGGCTCAGTAGTTAAGTATCTGCCTTCGGCTCGGGTCGTAATCCCAGGGTCCTGGGATCGAGCCCCACGTCGGGCTCCCTGCTCAGCAGGAAGCCTGCTTCTCCCTCTCCCACTCCCCCTGCTTGTGTTCCCTCTCTCACTGTGTCTCTCTCTGTCAAGTAAATAAATAAAATCTTTTTAAATAAATAAATAAAATAAATAAAAAGTCATCCTAATCTTGAGTTGAACTCTTCTATTCCTATAAGATTGAGAAAATTCGCAGAGAATACTCATTTTTCAAGTTTTCACTTGGTAAGGATCATGTATACTATGTGCAAAATATTTGTTTTACTCTCTACACTGGCTAATGAAACACCGGCCTAATAATACGGTAAGGATCATGTATACTATGTGCAAAATATTTCTGTTTTACTCTCTACACTGGCTAATGAAACACCGGCCTAATAATACGGTAGACAAACACGCTTTAATAAGGATGAAAAATTCATCATGTCTGCGAGTGCTTCAGGTGACTGATGATATTATTAGGCACCTAATCACTCAGATACTTTAAATTTTCATGGATAATGTCTTCTGATCTACTAGGGAAGTATAAATAGAAGCATACATCTTGGATGAAGTTTAGTCCCTGGCTACATAAGAAAGGATAAAGAAAGAAAAGAAAATTGCACCAATCATTAATTTCTTTCTAAGACCCGTCTCCCTACCTTAAAGTTTATAAGGAAGTGGGCTTTTCATTTAACATCACATAAAATGAAAACAAATATTTTAATATTTATTTTAATAGCCACCACTGCACCTGGGAAACACACTACACTTTTATATAAATAATTATAACAATTAATCACAGCTTAAAAAAATTGGTGCATTATTTTGCGAATTATTTTTCTTTTGTGAGACTTTAGCAGAAGGCCCAGGAACAGAAAAAACTATGGGGTAATCAGGAGTTAAGTTATAATGCCAAGCTATACTTGGTTGAAAAAGTTTGATTAGGTATAAATGAATGCATAAGGCCCCCAACTGCTTTTATCTCTTTTTATGCTTTGTTGCATGGACCCAATGTCTTCTGTTTAGCGTTCTACTACCACTAAAGATATGATTTGGGTATCATTAGCATAGGCTGGTGGTTACTTTCATCTATAACTTACCTTCAAAATATAAGAAGAATGAAATATCCACCTAATTATATTATTAATGATATACATGAGGGTAAACTTGTTATTTTATAAAATTAAATAATATGCCTTTTTAACAATAATGACAGTAAGATCTTAATCAGCTTATTAACTCTAAGGACATCAGGTATGACTCCATCACATAAATACTGACAGACCATAGTCATAGATACAATTAGTTTGAACTGACAAACAGATTCTCAAGTATTAACTGCTGCAAGGTCCTTACCAGGCCTACCCTAATCCCCACCAGAAGAGCTTTCATTTGTCTCCAACCTGCAATGATGACATAGAAGGTGACGTAACTGGTCTTTCTGTACACTGAGTATGAAATTATTATATTCACTAGCTCAAAGACAAAGACAGAACTCAAATTTCTAGAATTCTGAGGGCACCTGTGGTTTTGTTTTTGAGCAAATGTCTTTACACAGATTAACTCAAAACCTTAAATTTCTTGTGCCATGGGTCTATGGAAAACACAGTAATTTTATTTTTTTTATTTATTTTTTTTAAAGATTTATTTGAGAGAGCGAGAATGAGAGAGAGAGTACATGAGAGGGGGGAGGGCCAGAGGGAGAAGCAGGCTCCTCGCCGAGCAGGGAGCCCGATGCGGGACTCGATCCCGGGACTCCGGGATCATGACCCGAGCCAAAGGCAGTTGCTTAACCAACTGAGCCACCCAGGCGCCCCACAGTAATTTTAAAGCACTGATGGACATAAATAATACTTTAAGATGTAGCAACAAAAGTAATGGGATATGAAAATATCTATGAGTTCTACTATTGACAAATCGCAGTTACTGCAAATACTCTTAGGAACTGTCACATGTTTCCTAACTGACGGAAATGCTGAATCCGTTAAAGATTAGCGAAAATTAAGATGTAACATGTTTCCCATTCAAGTTCCAAACCCTCTGAGTTCTGTCCATTTACCCCTTAGTAGTTAAGAGTCCCTATATTAACAACTCATTTAACCCAAAGACAATTACAGATGAGGACTCTGAGGTATGATGAGTTTCATACTGCATTATTGCAAAATAAGTGAATTAAGTATGCATGCACCCCCAGTCCCATAGGTACTGGGACCCTCACCTTGATGGGGGGTTTCCGAGTGATGTGGGAGACAAGGAAGTTCATGGCAATGTCCTCACAGTTGATGTATTCATCCACCATATCTCGGATGGCCTGGGGCATCACGTAAGAATACAGGTAGGCGTAATACTGTCAGGGGTAGAAAAAGATCACATACTCTGTTAGAGGCCACAGTTCTTTGGCTTTCAGCCAAAATATACACGGATCTAGGGGCTGTTAGGAAGCGGAGGGGTTGGGAGGAGGTTGGGTGTGATGATCATTAGAGGAATCACCACTCCCTTTATTTAGGGAGTTGGGGCCAGGGATGCTAAACATCCTACAAGGCAGATCTTCTGCAATAAATTAACACACGCACATTGCCATCATCACCCCCCTTTTGAGGTCCATGGTACCTCAGTGATTTTACAATATGAAGATTTATCAAATTAGGTCAGACAATGGTTCAGATAAACACCATTCTATCTGTGACAATGGCAATAAGGGATAAGTGAGGGGAAAGCCTGGTTATAGAGCCATAAAAATCTAATCCCTCAGTTCCTCCACTTATGGATTCTAGAATCTGATCACTTCTTAACCACTGCCACTGGCTACTCCCTGCTCCAAGCCACCATCATCTTTTGCCTAATTATTCATATAGTCTCCTAAACAGTTTCCCTGCTCCCATATTTTCTTCCCTCCAGTCCATTCTATGCACAGCAGAGTGACCATGTTCAAACACAAGTGCAATTGAACATGTCACTCCAAACCTCAGCGGTTTTTCATCTCACTCAGAGTAAAGGCCTATGTTTTTAAGATGTCCTGAAAGGCCCACAAAATGGTGTGCTAAAGCTGGCTCACACCTGCTAATGAATGTCAACCGCTAAATTTTCAGGAATTTTATGAGACTATTTAGGAATTTTGTGAGCTTGTTATGAAAAATAGCCATTATTAAAAATATACTTACATAAACTTAAAATTAAATAAGCTATATTAAAAACCAATAAATAGCTAAAGCACATCACTTAATTAATTAGCTTCATTTTACTATTGTTTATTTCATTTTACTATTATCTTGAGGTTATTTATGTCTATCATAACTGTATGGTGAAAATACTATAGAACTGCCCATCCCTTTCCAACTCCAAGTTCAGTGACATATCTATAACCTGAAATCAGCCATGCTAAAAATATTTATACCACAGAAATGGACAAATGCTATAAACAAGGCACATATCAACTATGATGTGTTGCAATGTTGCTGATGAATGAATAGGTGAGGTGCCTAATAAAACTGATTTATATATATCACCTTAAATAGTTAGAATCTATGTAATGAAATAATGATCATAAAATTTTTGTACCACACAGTGGTTTGCTGGTTATCTGTGGCAAAGTACTTAAAGGATGGTGAACTTAAAAGATGAATTATACATTTTTCCTTTATAAAATGACAGATGATTGAAATTTGTTGACCCTTTTTTTTTTTTTAAGATTTTATTTATTCATTTGAGACACAGATAGAGAGAAAGAGGAGAGAGCATGAGCGGGGGGGAGGGGCAGAGGAAGAGGGAGAAGTAGGCTCTCCGCTGAGCAGGGAGCCCGATGTGGGGCTCCATCCCAGGACCCTGGGATCATGACCTGAGCTGAAGGCAGACGCTTAACCATCTGAGCCACCCAGGGGCCCCTTGTTGACCCTTTAAATGGCCAGTGGCTGTCGTCAGTATGCTAATGAGAATATATTTACTGAACACAATCCATATCGTCAACAAGGGAAAGGTGACATAACAAGAAGAAAGAACTACCTTTTTAGAAAAATGGAGAAAGCATTATGAAAACAAATGCTTAGAAGTATTTCCACCATTATGTGATTATGATTGATGCCATAAATCAATAAACACTTTCATATCTGCACATTTTAAAACATATAAAAATTTTTTAACATGTTTAAAAATATTTTTAAATGAAGTTTCAATGGATTTAGAACCTACTCTAAGACAAAGTAACACTTTCTTGTTAGTTTGCTAAAAAAAAAATTAAATGGCATTACAGAAGATGAAAATTCTAGCCCAGTTTGAACACAATTTAGTGGATGAGTATCATGACTTAATAAGCACAGCAATATGGTATTTCTTACAGGGACAGTGACTAAAACCAAGTATCAAAAACGTGTTTAATTTAGAAATAAGAGTTCTGACTTGCCATAACACAGTGTTCAATTCAGGATTTTAAAAAATAATATACTGAATCTAATATAACACTGTATGTTAACTGGAATTAAAACAAAAAGTTAAGGGGCGCCTGGGTGGCGTGGTCAGTTAAGCATCCGACTCTTGGTTTCAGCTCAGGTGGTGACCTCAGGGTCATGAGATCGAGCCCCACGTTGGGCTCCATGCTGGGTGGGGAGCAGTGGGGGACTAAATAAACATTTCTGTAAATCACAGGCTTGAGGGCTGCTACCTTTACTCTAGATTTTCAAAAAGAAAATAGAAACTCCAAGGTTTACTAAGTAAATTATTTATTACTTGAAAATGACAGGATCTCGCTGCTGTTAACTTTTAAAGAGCAATCAGAATTTGGGAACAGGCAGACTTTTCAGAAGACAAGTAAATTCGAAATTGGTGGTTCTTTCTCAGATGACCAGTGTGAAAATAAAGGACTCCTAGTTAGGTACGGTTTCTCAGCCAGATACTTCCTAATCCTACTAGCATCCCCCATCCCAACCAAAGCCCACCCACATTTGGAAAACAAGCATGAGGGTGAGGTTCAAGAATGGGACAAGCATATCAGCTTGACACATTAAGTTGTAAAAAGAAAAAAAAAAAGCTGAAAATGTAATGATTTCTTAGCCTGATTCAAAATGTCCCTAGTAAGATGACTTTCAAGGTTCTGTTTGAGGTGGGTCGCAAGATGCCACCATCTGAAATTTGAAATATATGAGGGACAAAGCCTGGAGAAAGTTCGGATGTCAATTTGAGGTACGAGAGGGACATAAGGGGGGTGGGTTCCTGAAAACAATTAGCTATATGAGTACAGGCATCAGGGAACAACCAAGACAGGAATATAGACACAGAAATTACCAGCCTGTAGGTGCTCAGCCCCAAGACCTTGAGCTATGAGAGAACATCTAGGGAAGACCAAAGTAAGAAGAGCACTAGATACAGAAGTTAGAAGGTTGAGATACTTCAACATTTATGGGGAAAACAGTATGGTGGATGGGTCTTCCATGAGAGCAATGAAGTTGCCCAGAATGAGAGAGGGCATGGAGGGGAGATCAGGAGGACGGGCCATGTGCCAAGGTCTTTGATGACCAGAAAGAAATGGCTAGGAGATTGCTAGATGGGAGCAACAAGACAGATGCTGTGAGCCTCAAATGAGATTTTATATGATAGCTGAGAACTGTCTGGAAGTGTCATCAGTAAGCAATAAAAATGGTTCTTTATACCTTCCCTGCTCCAAAGTACACATCTGGGGAAATGAGTAGACTCAATCACTGTCCCTTGAAGAAATACATGAACAAGGTAAAGGGGAAGCACTGTCCTCAGAGAAAAGTTGGGTTTTAATTAGGTCAAGAGAGGAGGCATTCTGTGAAGTGGGCTGGAGGGGGTGCAGTCAACTTGGGCCACCTCAGAAGAGGGAGTCTTCAGAGCTCAGAAGAAGTACTTGGGAGGGAAGGTATACAGCAACACTATCTAAGATATGTGAGTCACATCTGTCACTTTAAATTCTCTAGTAGCCATATTAAAAAAAAAAAAAGATTTAATTTGTGAGAGAGACACAGAGAGCACGAGCAGGGCAGAGGGAGATGGACAAGCAGACCTCCCACTGAGCGCAGAGCCTGACACAGGGCTCGATCCCAGAACCCTGAGATCATGGCCTGAGCCAAAGTCAGAAGCTTAACTGACTAAGCCACCCAGACATCCCTACTAGCCACATTTTTAAAAAGAGAAACAGTAAAATTAATTAGAATATATTTTATTTAACCCAGTGTATCCAAAATAATTGCATTTTAACATATCAAAATCTGGAGTGCACTTTACATTTACAGCTCATTTCAATATTGGCCAGTCACATTTCAAGCGCTCAATAGCCATGTGTGGCCAATGGCTACTTTATAGAACAGAAAAGGTACAGAGGAAAGATGAGTCGGGAGCAAAAAAAGCTTAGCAATAACAATACAGGAGAGAAGTAATGACTGGAGGGATTTGCATTTTAGATATCCAATAAAAACTGGGATGTGTGCCATGGTGAAAGCTCTAAGGAATAAACAAAACTTGCATAACCACAACAGAGGCTCATGATGGAGCTTGAGATAGTGGTGGGTTAACCTGAGTCAGAAGAGAACCAGCCTTCTTTCTGCTGGGCAGGCCGTGTCTGGGACAACAATGGTAAAACAACAGTATTTTAGCCCAAGGCTCTCAATTTTACAGAAGGACAGCCAATGTCCAGAAAAAACAAACTAATTTTCCTAATAGCCTACATGCAATTGTGCAGGGAGCCTTCTCACCCTGACATTTTATCCCAGGGTTTATTCTTGAATACAGTCTTTAAAAACAGAAATAACTTACATGTCTAGCATACAAGGGACATATAAGAAACATCAGGAGGGCTAACTTTAGGGCAGCATTTCACTACCACACAAAGGCTCAACTCTTAACAAAGTTCACACCAATCTTACCAAGCTTTTTCTTACCTTGTGAAAGAAGGCAGCACCTGTCAGCACCATGGACAGCTCACAGGAGTAGTTGGAGTTGTAGAGCCAGGACTGATGAGGGATGTCCCACGCATGGTAACGGCCAGGGAAACCCACAATGCGGTCCCGTGCTTCTCTCCACACCCTCAGAAAACACAAATATATGCACACACCTGAGTACAAAGCTCTAAGATTATCAGAAACACTTAAAATTATTTCTCTGTCTTGCAGGCTCTGGCCCTTGAGCTTGTCTTTTCTCCTCTTAAAAAATTTTTTTAAGATTTTATTTATTTCTTTGACAGAGAGAGAGAGACACAGCGAGAGAGGGAACACAAGCAGGGGGAGTGGGAGAGGGAGAAGCAGGCTCCTGGCTGAGCAGGGAGCCCGATGCAGGGCTCGATCCCAGGACCCTGGGATCGTGACCTGAGCCGAAGGCAGATGCTTAACGACTGAGCCACCCAGGTGCCCCCTCATAAAAAATTTTAAAATAACAAAATTAGTCACAGGCAAAACAGGATAAGAACAAGCAAACAGTGCTATATGTAGCTTCTTTAATAAGCACCTGCTTACTGCTCTTCTAACTTCTGGCCGCCAGCACTTCTCCAGCTTTTACAGAAAGACCAAGCTGGAATAACATGGGAAGGAAATAAATGAAGTTAAGAGTTTCCAAAATGGGGTACGTACACCATTAAAAGAAGTGATCTTAGGACCATACAAATGAAAGATTCATAAATGCAAGAAATAATAAATTGAGTGGTGCTGGGGTGGCTCAGTCGGTTAAGCATCTGCCTTTGGCTCAGTCATGATCTCAGGTTCCTCGGATCGAGTCCCGCATCAGGATCCCTGCTCAAAGGGGAGTCTGCTTGTCCCTATCCCCCTGCCCTGCCTCCAGTGCGTGCACTCTCTCTCTCTCTCAAATAAATAAAATCCTTAAAAAATAGTAAACTGAGGCAAGATGGCAGAAGAGCAGGAGATCCAAATTTCGTCTGGTCCCAGGAATTCAGCTAGGTAGAGATCAAACCATTCTGAACACCTATGAACTCAACAGGAGAGCGAAGAAAAGAATAGCAACAACTCTGAACAGAAAAGCGACTATTTTCTGGAAGGTAGAACGTGCGGAGAAGTGAATCTGAGGCAATATTCAGGAAGATAGACGGCTGGGGAGGGGGCCTCCATCGGCAGCTACTGGCAAGTGATAGAGCCGCAGAGCACAAAATTGGAACTTTTAGAAGTCCGCTCCACTGAGGGAGGTCACTCCAGTGGCTAAGCGGGGGGTGGAACCCTCCCTGGGACTGTGTGGTCTCAGGACCCTCGGGGTCACAGAAAGACCAGGGGTGCCTGAGTGTGGCAGAGCTCCCAGGTATTGGAGCAGGGAAGCCAGGTGCAGAGACGGAGCCGAGGAGTGGGCTCTCAGCTCGGGGTTACCATAGACTGTGATCCGCAGCACAGTCGGGCCACTGCTCTTCCAGCAGGGACCCAACAAGTGGCAGATCCGGAGAGACTCGCCTTCCTCCCCTGGGAGGAGCGGCGCGGGAGTGCATCTGCTGGGTTTGGAGACGCCGCACGGGGTCATGTGCCAGAGAAAGAAACGCTTGGTCACAGGCCGGGTGAGCACGGAGTGCGGCCGGAGACCGGGGAGATGGGAGTGACTGACTGCTTTTCTCTGGGGGCGCACTGAGGAGTGGGGCCCTGAGTTCTCGGCTCCTCCGGGTCGGAGACTGGGAGGCCGCCATTTTCACTCTTGTCCTCCAAAGCTGTACGGAAAGACTGCAGGGAACAAAAGCTCCCAAGAGCAAACCCAAGCGATTACTTAGCCCAGACTCGGCAAGGGCTGAGCAATTCTGCCTCCGGCAAAGACATTTGGGAACCACAGCAACAGGCCGCTCCCCCAGAAGACTAGCAAGAAAACCCAGCCGAGACCAAGTTTACCGATCAATGAGAAGAGCAGAACTCCAGCGCTAGGGGAATACTGCACATAGAATTCATGGCTTTTTCCCCATGATTCTTTAGTCCTTCTTTTTTAAAAAAATTTTTTTGAATTTTTCTTTTTCCCCTTTTCAACCAACATCTTATCGATCCCTTTTTAAAAAAATCTTTTTTATTTTTCATTTTTAGAGTCATATTCTACCCCTTCATAGTAGTTAACCTTACTTTTGGTATATATATATAAGTTGTTCTCTCTTTAATTTTGGGATGCAGTTTCTTCTAACAGACCAAAATATAGCCTAAATCTCTAGTGTATGGCTTTATTCTAGTCTCCTGCCTGATCACATTCTCTCCCCCTTTTTTTCTTTTAAATCCTTTCTTTTTTCAACCAACTTCTTATCTTATCAATACCTTTTATAAAATCTTTTATAATTTTCATTTATACAATCATATTCTATCCCTTCATCATATTTACCCTTATTTTTGTAAATATATAAGTTTTTCTTTCTTTAAAATTTTAGGAGGCACTTTCTTCTAACAGACCAAAATACGCCCAAAATCTAGTGTGTAGCACTGATCTATGCACCAGCCTGATCATATTTGATCATATTCTGTTTTTTTGTTGTTGTTTGTTTCTCTGTTTTTATCTTTTTCTTTTATTCTTTTTTCTTTCTTTCCCTTTCTTTTCCTCTGGTTTCAGGTCTCTTCTGATTTGTTTAGTGTATATTTTTCTGGGGTGGTTTTTACCCTGTTAGCATTTTGTTCTCTCATTCAACTATTCTCCTCTAGACAAAACGACAAGACAGAAAAAAATCACCTCAAAAAAAAAGAACAAGAGGCAGTACCGACTGCCAGGGACCTATTCAATACGGACATTAGTAAGATGTCAGAACTAGAGTTCAGAATGACAATTTTAAAGATACTAGCTGGGCTTGAAAAAAGCATGGAAGTTATTAGAGAAACCCTTTCAGGAGACATAAAAGAACTAAAATCTAACCAAGTCGAAATCAAAAAGGCTATTAATGAGGTGCAATAAAAAATGGAGGCTCTAACTGCTAGGATAAATGAGGCAGAAGAGAGAATTAGTGATATAGAAGACCAAATGATGGAAAATAGAGAAGCTGAGAAAAAGAGAGATAAACAACTACTGGATCACGAGGGCAGAATTCGAGAGATAAGTGACACCATAAGACGAAACAATATTAGAATAATTGGGATCCCAGAAGAAGAAGAAGAGCGAGAGGGGTAGAAGGTATATTGGAGCAATTAAAGCATAGAACTTCCCTAATTTGGGTAAGAAAACAGGCATCAAAATCCAGGAGGCACAGAGAACCCCCCTCAAAATCAATAAAAGTAGGTCAACACCACGACATCTAATAGTAAAACTTACGAGTCTCAGAGACAAAGAGAAAATCCTGAAAGCATCTCGGGAGAAGAGATCTGTAACCTACAATGGTAGAAACATTAGACTGGTAACAGACCTATCAACAGACACCTGGCAGGCCAGAAAGGACTGGCATGATATATTCAGAGCACTATATGAGAAAAATATGCAGCTAGGCTGTCATTGAAAATAGAAGGAGAGATAAAAAGCTTCCAGGACAAACAAAAACTAAAGGAATTTGCAAACACAAAACCAACCCTACAAGAAATATTGAAAGGGGTCCTCTAAGCAAAGAGAGAGCCTAAAAGTAACATAGACCAGAAAGGAACACAGACAATATACAGTAACAGTCACCTTACAGGCAATACAATGGCACTAAATTCATATCTTTCAATAGTTACCCTGAATTTAAATGGGCTAAATGCCCCAATCAAAAGACACAGGCTATCAGATTGGATAAAAAAACAAGACCCATCGATATGCTGTCTGCAAGAGACTCATCTTAGACCCAAAGACACTCCAGACTGAAAGTGAGGGAGTGGAAAATCATTTACCATGCTAATGGACACCAAAAGAAAGCTGGGGTGGCAATCCTTATATCAGACAAATTAGATTTTAAACCAAAGACTATAATAAGAGATGAGGAAGGACAGTATATCCTAATTAAAGGGTCTATCCAACAAGAAGATCTAACGATTGTAAATATCTATGCCCCTAACATGGGAGCAGCCAATTATATAAGCCAATTAATAACAAAAGCAAAGAAACACATCGACAACAATACAGTAATAGTGGTGGACTTTAACACCCCCCTCACTGAAATGGACAGATCATCTAAGCAAAAGATCAACAAGGAAATTAAGGCTTTAAATGACACACTGGACCAGATGGACTTCACAGATATATCCAGAACATTCCATCCCAAAGCAACAGAATACACATTCTTCTCTAGTGCCCATGGAACATTCACCAGAATAGATCACATCCTGGGTCACAAATCAGGTCTCAATAGTTACCAAAAGACTGGGATCATTCCCTGCATATTTTCAGATCACAATGCTTTGAAACTTGAACTCAGTCACAAGAGGAAAGTCGGAAAGAACTCAAATACATGGAGGCTAAAGAGCATCCTACTAAAGAAGGAATGGGTCAACCAGGAAATTAAAGAACAGTTTAAAAAATTCATGGAAACAAATGAAAATGAAAACACAACTGTTCAAAATCGTCAGGATGCAGCAAAGGCGGTCCTAAGAGGAAAGTATATAGCAACACAAGCCTTTCTCAAGAAATAAGAAAGGTCTCAAATACACAACCCTAACCCGACACCTAAAGGAGCTGGAGAAAGAACAGCAAATAAAGCCTAAACCCAGCAGGAGAAGAAAAATAATAAAGATCAGAGCAGAAATCAATGAAATAGAAACCAAAAGAAGAGCAGAACAGATCAATGAAACTAGGAGCTGGTTCTTTGAAAGAATTAACAAGATTGATAAACCCCTGGCCAGGCTTATCAGAAAGAAAAGAGAAAGGACCCAAATCAATAAAATCATGAATGAAAGAGGAGAGATCACAACCAACACCAAAGAAATACAAACAATTTTAAGAACATATTATGAGCAACTATATGCCAGCAAATTAGATAATCTGGAAGAAATGGATGCATTCCTAGAGACGTATCAACTACCAAAACTAAACCAGGAAGAAAGAGAAAACCTGAACAGACTTATGACCACTAAGGAAATTGAAGCAGTCATCAAAAATCTCCCAACAAACAAAAGCCCAGGGCCAGATGGCTTCCCAGGGGAATTCTACCAAACATTTCAAGAAGAATTAATACC